TGAGATAAAACATTTGATGTCTGGGAACTATGACAGTTATCTTGCAACTATAAGATGATGAGAATGAGGACAGAAAGCCAATATGTTGAGGACGATGAAGCAAAAAGCTCCAGTCTTTGATGATATCATTAGCCACTGAAATAACATCTACTCTAGAAATATCTACCTCCAATCTCTCTGTTACATAAAATCATAAATGTCCGCATTATTCAAGTCACTATCAATCAGATATTGTAGCCAAATATGCCTTAATGGATGTAACCTCAAACTCAAATCTAGAGGACACAGCAAAGAAGATACTCAGAAAAAAAATAAATAAGCTAAATGTTTTCATTACAAAAAAAAGAGATAGAGAAATTTGCTATCCATTTTTAGAAATTAAGTAAAGCAATGAAAGAAATTAGAAATAGGAAATTAACAAATATCAAAGCTGAAATTAATTAGAAACTTTTAAATGGTAAAAAGGACAAATAAATCCAAAGATCTGTTCCTTGAAAAGACCAATAAAGTCGATAAATCCAGAAAGAATCTGATAAAAGCAAAAAGGACAGTAAAGATATACAAGATAAAGTATAAGGGAATGTAGCCCTGATACAGGAAAGACTGGAAGAATTACAAGAGAATATACATACAAACTTATGAAAACCTTGAGGAAATAAATAATTTCCTGGCAAAATGTAACAAAATTGACCCAAGAAGAAATAGAAGACTTGGATAAAGCTATTATCACGGTAGAGATTGGAACGATAATTAAAGATCTACCAGTGAAAAAAATGTACCAGGACCAAATGTATTCACAAGTGTTTCAATCAAACCTTTAAAGAATATATAATTTCAGTGTTAATAAAAGATTACAAGTCATAGAAAAATGTGGAAAATTTCTTCCAGCTCTTATTGTGAAGAAATAACCTTAATACAAAAAAATATAGTACCAAAAAGAGAATATTCAATCTTCGTAAGTCTATCTCAGTTATGACTATAGATGCAAAAATTGTAAATAAAATATTTACAAATAGAGTCAACAACGTATTAAGAGAATAATATGTTATGACCAAATAAGGTTTATTCCAAAAATGCACGTATAGTTATATATGAGGAAAGAGACCAACATAATCCATTATACAACAGACTAAAGAAGGAAACCATGTGATTATATCAATGGGTGCTGAAGAAAACCTCATAGGTGTCAGCCATCATTGAAATACTAAGTAAGATAGAAATAAAAAACACCGAAGTGTAGAAAAAGATTTTGATGAAAAAGACAGCAACAAATATTATTATCAACGGCTAAATGTTAAAACTATTTCAATTAAATGGGGAACATGACAGGGCTGGTGCTTCTTTCCATTCATTCAATACTGTATTGGAGTTCTAACGATTGTGATAATATATAAAAATTCCGTAAGTAATATAAACATTGAAAAATGAGGCACTAACTTCCTTCTGTCCTTGGGAATGATGATTTTATACCGTCCAAACACAAGAGACTCAAACGTGGAGGGAGAAAAGAGAAAGAAGAAAAGACTCAGAGGAAATAAGAGGGTTGAATATACAAAGTGAACATTAAAACCTTTTTCTCTACATTAACACCAGTCATCTAAAAATAGAAAAAGAGGCAATATTATACTTAAAATAGCAATAAGAATTATTAAATCCAACCAACATACAAAAAAAGCAGTAGTGTTTCTATATACTAACAAAGAACAATCTGAGAAAGAAATTAAGAAAACAATCTCATTTATAAGAGAATCAAAAAGAATAAAACATTTGGCAGTAAACTTAACCCAGGAGGCAAAAATTCTATACATGGACAACCATAAAACGTTGCTGAAAGGAATTAGAAAAGACACAAGTAAATGGAAAAATATCTCATGTTCATGGAAAGATATCTCATGTTCATGGATTGGAAACTTAATATTGTTAAATGTCCACAGCAAGCTACACCTTAAATGCAATTCCTATCAAAATCTCAAGGTCGTTTTTTGCAGAACTAGAAAAAAACATTCTAAAATTCATATGAAATCTCATGGGTCCCCTGAATTGTTATGCAAACTTAGAAAATGCATACATTCTGGGAAAGATACCAAGTTTTAAAAATTAAAACTTCTATAACAAAGACAAACCGAACAGTCCCTAATGCCATAAATAAATATTTACTGCTATTCAAAAAGAGACTCAGCCTAATGAACAAAGATTTCAATTTATCTCTCCTTAGTTTACGCAGCTCAGTAAAGAATCAACCATTAGATGACTCAGATCCTGCATCTCCAACAGTCTGAAATATTTTATTTGTGTATTTAAGATGTCTGGAGAGTTCCAAAGAATCAATCCTATTAGATTTGCAGTTGCCGTTTAAGTTTTAAGAGACTGTGATCAATCTAATTAATAATGTTTTAATGCTCAAGGAAAATGGATTTTCAGTTATATCACCTTCATAAACTGAACAATAAACAAAGTACCAATACCATTGAGAATCCCCCTCCATGGACAAAGACCTCCTAGATATTAAAGAAACTGACAATCTACTTTATTGAGCTATTAAAGAAACTGACAATCTATTTTATCGAGATTACTTTCACCCCAGAAAATAACTGAAACCCCAGACCAGGGGCTTGAACTAGACAGGCGCAGGGCCTCTGAGGACGGCCAGGCAGCCCATTTCATAGGCCCAAGGCCTTCCACTGGCCTCCTCCGCCATGTGAATGGCGCCCCTGGCTTGTGCAGTGCAGCAGCCCTGGATGGACGCCTACCCCAGACAGGAAAGCTTGGTGTAAGCTGCAGAGCTGGGGCGATGACTTCCCCAGTCGTTCAGGAGCCAGGCTGCTCCCGGTTTTCTGCTACGCCATCCTCGGGATGTGTGGGGCCCTTGTTCTCGTGGCCCACAGTGTAGCCAGTTATAACATGTATTCTGTTAGATGGATCGGGGGAGAGGAGAAGAAAGGGCAGAGGACCAAGCCAGCTGCCTCCTGAGGAAGGGGCCCAGGGCACATATCTTCACATCTCCCTGACCAGGACTTAGTCCCTCGGCCATACCTAGCAGCAAAGGAGTCTGGGAAATGTAGGTTTTATTTCTATCACATATGTGAGAAAGTTTTTAACAATAAATGTAATATGTGTGTACTGGCTTGGACACTATCCCCCCAAAATTCATGTCCTTCCCAGAACCTCAGAATGTGACCTTATTTGGAATTGGGTCCTTGCAGACATAATTCTTTAAGGTGAGGTTATACTGAAGTAGAGTGGGCCCTTAACCTAATACAACTGGTGTCCTTATAAGAAGAGACACACAGACATGGGCTCGTGGGGAGAAGGCCATGTGAAGACAGAGGTTGGAGGGATGATTTACAGTCACTGGTTGTGGCCAGCACCAGCGGGGAAAGGCCCCACCTCCGGCAGACACAGGAAAGATCCTCCCCTGGAGGCTTCGGAGAAAGCACAGCCTGCCCAGTGGGCATTTTAGAGAACGTCCTGGGTAAAACACAGTGAGTGCACAGGCCCTGGGGTGAGGACCTGTGTTTGAGAAGCAGCATGGAGGCAAGTGTGGCTCTGCGTGTGGCTGACCGGGGGTGGTGTGAGCCGGGAAGCTGTGGGGGATGAGGGAGGAGAGGGGGCAGTGGGGGGAGGGCAGGGGCAGCTGAAGGGATGGGGGTAACAGCTCAGGGAGAGCTGAGTAAGTCCTGGTGGAGGATTGGGGTGATATTTTGAATGAGTCAGAGAAGTCAGTAGTCAAGGAACAAACTAGGAGCTAGGAGACGCTGCAGACTTAGTGCGTGACACTGGCTACTTCTCTCTCAGTCTTGGTGAAAAGGGAGTGGAAGGGAGTGATGTCCATTTAATGCCTGCTCTGCAGGCTTTTAAAGAGACACAGAGGGGTGGCACGGGGGCTCTGCTGGGGCGCCCCTGCACACCAGCGGGGGCTGGGAGGCACTGAGGGCTTGCTGGGGCCACGACCCAGTGGCAGCCGCTGCCCTACAGCCCTGGACACTTAACTGGAGACAGCTACTAGGTGACTAACAGTATGGGGGCAGGTAGCTCATACAGGGTGGGGACCCTGGGTGAAGGCACGATTCATGTCCTGGGCAGGTCAGGGAGGGAAGGCACAAATTTCATCACTCTACTCAGAAAGGTGCACAATTTAAAACACATGAATTATTTATTTCTGAAACTTTTCATTTAATATTTTCGGATTGTCGTTGACTGTGGGTAACTGAAACCATGGGAAGTGAACTGGGTAAGGCCTGGTAGTGAGACCCATGTTCAAATTCCTGGCTCACTACGGCCCAGCTGTGCAGACCTGAATAGCTAACCATGACCTCAGTATTTGTCCGCACCTGGAAAGGGTGCCGTAATAGTGCCCCCTGCTGAAGGCTGTGCTCAGGTAACATACCTGAGAGTTAGGATGGACATTTATACCAGGGTGACTTTTCTTAGGGACCTAGAATTAGGGTCAAGGCTCAAAGCTGAGAACAAGGCAGGCTAAGTCCCCCCACTTTCTAAAGGAAATTATCTAGGAGCTGTCGGCGTGAGGGCCAGACCCTCCCTGCCCCCCGCTGCCCCTGCAGGAGCCAGGAGGCGGAAGCACAGCATCGGCACCCCCACCCCACCCACTCCTCCCCGGAACCCTGACCACACGGTGGGCACGCGTCCATCGACACTCCAGTCTCCAGTTCTCAACCCCTTCCCACCCATGACTCAATTAATCTTCACTCTACATCTGAAAGTCACAGAAAACTGAATCGCCTGTCCAAGGTCAAGGTCAGTCCCTGGCAGACCTGGCTCCTACACCCCAGGCTGAGTGCTCGCGGCGGGTGCTCTTTCCTCGTGACACCATCGAAAGAAGGAACTGGATGCCCAAGAGCTTTTTTCAAAATCATCTTTAATGTATTTTTAATAATTTTTTGCCTCATTTACCAGATAAATCATCTAAATAAATAGATGCTATACAGTCTCTTACCAATATCAGTACAAAAATAAAACCGCGTCTGCATCCACTCTGGCTCTCCGCAGCACACACCCACGCAGAAGAGGCATGTGCTGGGGTCCGCTCGTGCCCAGCCCCTCCCAAATACATTCACTTCGTCTGAACAAAGCTCACTGCTCATTCTGTGCAAAGGAAGCGTTATTGTGCTGAGACCTGGAGGCCAGGCTGGCCACTTAGAAAGCAGAAGCTACACCGCCTTACAGAAGCATAGCGCCTTCCTCCGGCAGGAGAGGAGAAAGTTGGCGATGGGATCAATGGGGTGACGATCACGGCGCTGCCCAGCGGGCTGCGTTCCGAGTGGCCTTGACGAGGGTGGAGAACATTCTCCTCGGGCAACCCCCACAGCGAAAGAAAAGTACCGACTGGTCTCTCTACATTCAAATGGGTGGGCGCTGGGTGAAGGAGAGGCAGGTGGTCTGTTTCTAAGCCCCCAGCCCCAGGAGTACTGGCCTTCTGGGTGGCGGTGGTGAGGTGGGGTAGGAGGTCAGTGTCCGCCTTGTCCCCTCTCAGGCCCCGGCAGCCCGGCTGGGACACTCAGGGCTGGGAGGTGGGCTTGCAAGGCCGCACCCAGCCCCTCATAGAGGTCTCTGTCCTAAGAGCCCACAGCCCTTCTGGCTCCCGCGGGGTTCGGCCTTCCCTGAGACACAGGGCCCCGTGGGCTACAAAGGGCTAAACAAGAGGCAAGCAGTGTTCCGTTGCTCATGACAGAAAAACAGCTGCCTCATTCCACAAAAGAGCCCCCCAAACCCCCAGTCCTGCAGATTTGCACAAAGAGCTCTTTGAAAGTGCCCATGAGGCAGGAAGAGCTCCTGTGTCCCCTGGGGATGGAGAATAAATGTGACTCCTATTGAAAGCTGCCAGCCATGTCCCAAAGCCATGGCCAATGGCATTTAGGCAGAGGCCCCCCCTGCCCACCCACCCTCTGGCACCCTCACCTCTGCTGGGAGCCCCTGTCCTGGGAGAGTCCCCAATTCCAGCTGCCCTTCCCTTCCCAGGGGTCCCACAGCTGGGTGGGTGGGGCTTCCTGCTGCCCCTCCTTTCCCTGACCCACCCCCACTTACTCCTCCCGATTAAACTCCCCAGGCTGGTGGTGAATGAAGTCACCAGGGAGGAGACCGTACCCCAATGGAAGCACTGAATTAACCCTGGACAATGAAGGATTAAGGAGGAAGGGGAGAGAGAGAGAGACCAGGGATTTTGGAATCTTGCCAGCAGGTCACCCAAAACAGAAATGGGGTGCAGGCTGTCTTTGGTCTGGGAGCGTGGGAAGAAGGGGTCTGGAGGAAGAGCAGCCCTATTGTTGCCTCGGCAGGGATTCTGCTGACAGCGAGTGGGGAGACAGCCCTGGGGGAGGCAGGCAGCGATAGCAGAAGGGTGGAGGGAGCCCGCCTTTTCCTTGCTCCCCTGGTGTGCCGCACCCCAATGTGGCTAGGATAGGGGCTAAGTCACTTCTCACTGCCGGGGAAGCTACTAGTCCACAGGGCACATGTGTGCAAACCAGAAAACGAGTGCCCCTTCCTCCTGGCAGACACGGCCCCTTGCCGTCGGGGGCGCGGTGCTTGTAAACAGCCTGACCCACCGTCCACAGCAGCCTGACCACAGGAAGACATGTCAGAGGTTCCCCCACAGGAAAACAAGGCCAGCCCCAGCTTCGGCCTGTCAGGTGGATGGGGAGGGAACACGGAACAGAAGGAGGAGGGTGTCAGGGGTCAAGGCTGCCCTGAGAAGGTGGTGGGACTCTCCCTCCTCCCTGACCACCCATATCCACACCCAGCGCTAGCTGAGCTGGACAGGAGGACAGAGGAAGAGGGGAGCAGGAAGGGCTGAAAAGTCACCTGAGTCAGAGAGAACAAGAGGCCCCCAGGGGAGGAAGCACAGGCTGAGCGCCTCAGAGCTATGCCGATGCCCGCACACCTGCGCGGAAGCGTGCGCGCCTGCAACTGGCCGGCTGAAGCCGCAACACCACGGCAGCGTGTCTGGAGCGCTTGAGGCCACCTAGCCCAAGGCCGGACCCCTGCTGACAGCTTCCAGCAAATGGAGTTGGGCTAGATCCTGTCACGTGATGGGCTGTGTAAGATGGGGTGAGTGTGGGGTGACTGTGGCAGATTATTCTGTGCTGTGAATCACCCCATATTCACCTGGTCAAGGTTTCTACACAGGAGGTTTGCAAGGCCCACTGCACACATCTGCAAACACGCGCACGCACTCACGAGGGCAGGAGGCAGTATACGTGTGCACACCTGTGCAGCTGGGTGTGCACGCGAGTGTTTCTCACAGGCCAGGGATGGGGGACAGGGTGGAACGCTCAGCAGAAGGGGCTGTACTGGTAACCGCCCCCAGGGAAAGGCAGAGACCTGTCTGTAGGGGATCAGACAGGTATCAGACACATAGGACACACCACGGCAATCTCCAACTTCCTCTGGCCCCTTCTCTCTGCCCTTGGCTCCTGGTCAAAAGCAGCCTCCCATCCCACCACAAGCTGGAGTGCAAAGTTAAAAATAAAGACCCCTCCCTCTCCCCCACACCCCCCCCAAAAAAAGGAAAAGAAAAAGTCAACCAGAAAGGCTCAGGCGGGCTGCTCGAGGCAGAGGGTTTGGGCCTTCTCATCCTTCTGCAGTCCCTAGGACCAGCCGCTGTGTCTCCAGAGAAGAATAACGATAGAGGTGTCCAGGGGAGAGTGGCCCTGTCCCCATCCTGCCCTGGAGATGGTGCCCCAACTGACAGAGCAGTGCTGGACCTCCCCACTCCGACTCCGAGGCAACCCAGAGACCTCTCTGTAAACATCGCGTGCAGAGAAAGGGACAGGGTGGTGGGAGAGGGGCGGGATCTTCTCCCCTTTTCCTATTCCATATTTTTTTAAATAAAATAATTATCCCATCCCCGAGCCCTCCCCGTCTCTGGAAGTCCCCACCCCAAGCCCCCCAAAAAACAGTTTAAGAAAAGTAAAAATGGTGACTCAGAACTTCCCACTGCGGTCTCGGAAGAAGCCCTCAGCTGCCTGGGCCTCACGGAAGGTGACGGTGATGGAGTTGGCTGTGATATCGGTCACTGTCACTTCACTTGTGGGGAGCGTAGGTGTCCAGGGAGGGGGCCCCTCGGCCAGGTCAGCATCTGCTACAACCGTGAGAGAAAGACAGACAGATGGGGGACAGCGTTGACAACAAGGTGGGGAACGTGGGAATGGGTGGCAGCATGCAGACCGCCCTCCACTGCCCACCACCAGGTCCTCCCGCGTCTCCAGCCAGGTCAGAGTCTAGCTCAGGGCTGGACACAGGGGAGGAGGGCACTACATTCATCTTTCCTGGCTGGACCAGAGCTGATATGATCCTGAATAGAACCACAGAAAGAGCTCTGGGCTGGGTGCCAGGGTCCTCGCAGGTTGTGTGGCCTTGAGAGCACCCCGTGCCCTCTCTGGGCACTAGGCCAGCTGAACCTGATGACTCAGGGGACATTCCCAGCTTTGAGGGTCTCTGGGCCTGGGCCGAGGGGCTGGGCCACCTTACCCTCCTCTTCAGGGGGCTGCTCAGCAGGCTCCCACTCGCTGGCTGCCTGCAGGACATCCGGGGCCGGTGACTCCTGCAGGAAGAGCTCCCGTCGATGGCTGTGACTCTCCAGGTTGGGCCCACGGGGCGGGAACTTCTTGCGTGAGAGCCGCAGGTACTTGTGGGCCTTGCGCGGCTTGCGGAGCGGGAAGGGCAGGGTGGGCACCAAGGGGCCCTTGTCCACCAGCTCGGGTGCCCCCGCCTTGACCACCCCCTCGGGGCTCCCGCTGCCGAGTGGGCGCGTCAGAGAGAAGCAGAGCTTCTCCTTGCCCTTGGCCTTGTGGGAGCTCCGCAGGTCCATGCTGTACAGCCGCTGCGGGGGCAAGCCAGGGCACGGCGGGTCAGCCCTGCCCTCCCACCCGCTGCCGCGCCTTTGCTCATGCTGTTCCGCCCGCCCAAGTGCTCTTCCCCACGTTTCACGGCCCAGAGCCAGCCATCGGCCCACCCCCAGCCCAGCCAGAGAGCAGCCCCTGACCGGCCCAGCCCCATCTCGGCCCCAAACAGCAGCCTCATCTCCCTAGGGAGCTGTAGGGGGCTCAGGGACAAGGGCCGCAGGCATATGCCTTCGGCACACAGGGAAGGAGCAAACGAGAGGCACGAAGTCAAAACTGACTGACAAAAAACAGATCTGGATTTATGAAGCAGATGAATTAAGGAATTATTCTTCATTATAGGAAAGGAATCTTTGCTCACTAAAGGGCACTCATAGCTGAGACAGCCAGCTCACCAGGGAAATGGTGTAAGGCAGAGGGCTCTGGAGGTTCTTGGGGCAAGTTGACCAAGGTGGCGCGATGCTCTGCCAGGAGCCTGCAGGTGTCCCTGGACCCGTCTGGGGTGCTGCTCAGCCCCGAGCTGCAGCCCTCTGCTGCTCTGCCTCACTCTTATTAAAATGGGCTGGAGGGAACATTCTCCCACCAGTCAATGGCTGGAGTTTTGCAACTTGGGGATTTGTCTTATTGACTTTCGGGGGAAATTTATACAAGTCCAAGAAAGACTCCTGGTGCTAAAATGTTGGGAGGGCTCGAATCACTCTGGGATAGTACCTTTTACTGCTGCCTGTTCCCAGAGGCCAAGAGCTCCCAAGAAGAGAGTGGGGCCATCAGATGGGACCTGTAGGTCAAACATCTCCAGCTGGGAGCAAAGGTCATATGTGCGGGCTCTGTTCTCCCATCCCATTGCCAATACCCATCACTGGGCATGGGGTTCAAGTTGTCATGGTGATGGGAGGAGGGCTGAAGTGAGAGGGGATTGGAAAATACTGCAATGCTAGGAGGGCTTATCCGATATGCAGGTTTATATAAACCCGTTCCCTCAGCCTGGCTCATAGACCACAAACCCAGCAAACTCTCCCACAGTTATGCAAGGCAGACTCATCTCTGTCCTTCTCCACCTCTCCATGAGAGGACCACAGCTACTAAGGAGGATCCAGGAGAATCAGAAGTCAGATCTGGGTCTTAATCCAGATGTGAGGCCCTGGGTAAACTGCCTGAGCTCGGTTTCTTCATCAGTGAAACGATGAACAAGCTTTGGTAGCCAGCCTCCAAGATGGCCCCACCAATAACCGCCTCTGGGAATTCACGCCGTGTGCATCGCACACTGAGTACTGCGGTGTGGGACTTCCGAGGCTAGGTCGTTAAAGACACTGTGCTTCTTCCTTGCTCTCTCTCTTGGATCACCCACTCTGGGGAAGCAAGTGGCCGTACTGTGCGGCCACCAGCAGCCCTCTGGTCAGGCCCACGTGGTAAGAAAGCAGGCTTCCTGTTAACGGCCAGCACTGACACGCCCGGCCTGGGAGCAGCCCTTTGGAAGCGGGTCGTCCAGCCCCAGTGAAGCCTTCGGATGAGCAGATCCCAGGCCAAAGCAGAATCACTAAAGAACTAGCTAAAGCACTCCTGGACTCCTGACCCACCGAGCCCTATGGTATCAGCAGTGTTCACTGCTTTCGGTTAGTTAGGAGGGGAATTTATTACACAGAAATAGATGAAGACACACCTGTGCAGAGGAAGCGTGCTCACTGTGAAGAGCACTGCGCACAGAGCTGAGCGTGGCGATGTCTGACAGAGGCCACTTCCCTCCCGGGGACCCAATGCACGCCGAGCCCTATGGAGCAAACCCACGCACAAAGGGAGGCCCACCTATTCTGGCAGAAGCCTCAGGCGATCGACAATCAAGAGTGAACAGGAGGCTGGACATGGCTCACACTGCGCATAGACCAGGAAGACTTATTTTTGGCTCCGATACCTGGGTGGGCCTCGCTAAATTAGGGAGAGCGGGTATTCCTATCATTCCCATTTTACAGATGCGAAAACTCCAGCTCAGAGAAACTAGCCACCTAACATAATGGCCTCAAATCACATAACTACATCACTTCGGACTCTGTCCTCTTTTCAGTGCAAAGCAGTGAGGTCAGGAAAGTGCCCCCAAGACCTAAGTAATGGGATGTCACAAAGTAGATGCCACCTGCGGCAGAGGACTGGAAAAGAGGCCCTGTAGGTTTCTTCTCACTCAAATGACAGGTTTCTAGGACATTCCAAGGCTATGGTTCCAGAATCCCAAGAGTCCCCCTTTCTTGGATTCTAAACTTCCAAGCTTCCATGCTTCCTCAATTCTAAAGTTTTTGTCCCTAAGGATCTCAAATATTACAATTTTGTGTTTTGAGGACTTTGAGCATCAAAAAGGTTCATTTACAAGATTCTAAACTTTCAAAATTCTAAGAGCCCATTAGCCATACATTGCTCTCCATTCCGCCACAGCACCCCCAGGCTGTCCTCCTGGGGCACCAACCCCACATTTCGACTTTTCCCAGCTCCTTCCATTGGACCTTACCAGATAAGCGCCCCTGCACACAGGGCCGGGGTGGGGCTGAGGAGGGAGGGTGGTTCAGCTCAACGAGCTGAGCGATTGAATGGATGGGGCCGGCTGGCGGGACGAGCGAGGGGGACCTGCGGGTGGGCACCAACGCTGGCGGGTTACCTGCAGCAGAAGCCGCTTGGGTTTCGGACCTCTCTTCCTATACCCCGACGCTCGGTCTCTCTCCTCCCTGGGGTGCAAAGCAGATGGCAGAAGAAAAGGAAACACTGGTGATATTTAAGGGAAAATAAGGCGTCTGCTCCTACCCACCCTTTGCTGTCTATGGGGAACACCCTCCACAGGCCATCTCCCAATTTAGGGGTAGGGGCAACTCCCTGTTGCTCTTTTTAGGCCATACAACAGGGTCACGTGTTCAGCTCCCAGGGCCTCGGTCTTCCCAGCTGACAAAAGGCAAGGGCACAGCCGCTGGTCCCAACCGCTGAGGTGGGACTCAGGTGGCATCTCCAAAAATATGTGGTTCTTGATCGGGCTCTGGGGTCATCCAAGAGCTCTGCTCCACGTGCCACTGGAAATAACTCCCCACCCCCACCCCCCCGCTGCCCCCCAAAATGTAGCTTGTTTCTACTCTTAGCAGAGCATAGAAACCTGTTAATCAAGTTTGCCTTGAGCATCCCAGGGCAACTGATGAGACTGGGAATGGTCCTTCCCCTTTGAGATCTGCATGCCTGGTGGAGAGGACAGGCTCCCATTTGTCTGTAACTGTCCAGCCAGGGAATGGGAGAAAACTAGCCTGTACTGAGTCCCTAGGAGATGCCAGACTCTGTGGGTGCCTCTCCATATCCCAAATGCACAAAGCCTCACACCACAGACACCAGAAACGACGACAGAGATGTCACCAGTGCCTGAAGCGGTGGGTAAAGTCAGTCATTCCGTTCCGCCCACCTCACTTCGTTCCACTCACACGTCGTGTGGCTCCCCCTGCAGAGGCCACGCGGACGCAGCAGGACTATGAAGGCAGGAGTGATCAGGAGTGACAAGAGAAAAGTTCTGAGAGGTTCTAAATTAAGTTCCAGCGGGCCAGAGAGTGAAAGGAGACAGAGCAGTCAGCCTGTTCAGAGCTGTGGGTCAGCTGAGAAGGCTGCTCACATTCCTGAATGTGTGCTAGCGCCTTAACAGACTCCAGGCGTCCGTGAGACACCACCAGCCACGCTGCGTCCCGCTCATGCACAAACTTTCAGGACTACTGCCTGTAACAAAGCAGTCAATATTTTTTCCTTACATACTCTTCGCTGCCCGCACTTCACCTTTTCCATCCCCCCCTACCCCCGCTTATCTGTAGCCAATGTAAAATCTTTCAAAACTTACATATTTCTTCCCCAAAATATAATGTATAAAAAAAATGCCCATCAACTGCAGGACAGCAGACAGTGTCCTTCTCCACGCAGCCCTGCTGCTACTGGTTTAGACTTCAGGCCCCAGAACTTGGTCCTTTTCTGGCTAGCAGTATGGCCCAATAAACCCTTTCTCTTAAAGTCTTTCAGCCATGGAAGTTAGGTTTTTTGTGTAACGGTGTCCTTCCCCTTACTGGTTGTGTGACCTTAGAGCTCAGCTAAACCCACGAATCCAGGAGGCTGTTTCTGCTATTACTCCCTCTAGGCAGCTGTGGCCCACCGTCAGGGTGTCTCCAGGGCTGCCGGGGCCTGGTGGAGGGCCCGCCCTCTCTATGGAGCCGGCCTCATAGGGAACCAGCATTTGAAAGAAGCATCCAGGGCACCGAGATTCACGCTCCCTGCGGCTCACCGGCACAGACCTCCTAAGCCCTCGGCACCCAATACTGAGTGCCAGGACACCCCGTTCCAGGCCCAGCTCTGCCCTGACCCATGGGAGCCCTCGCTGGTCACTTCCCCTCTCTGGGCCTCAGTGTCCTTGTCTGGAACAAGGGGCTCCCTTCCCAGATGGTCACTAGAGCTCTTGAGAAGAGCGAGAGGTCCATGGTATTTATGAAATGGGGGGTTAGAAAGGCTAAAATAATAGAGGAAGAGAGAGGGAAGAAAAAGGAAAGAGGAAGAGGAGGAGGAAGCAGAGGGGGAAAAGTAAAGGCCTTGAGGGAAAATAGTAATGACGATAATGTGTTTACTATATTTACGTAAGCGTTATTTATCACCATCGTCACCTACTGGACACTGCGCGAGGTACAGCTTTAACCCTCACAGCCGCCCCATGAGGGAGGCACTGTTACCGTCCTCATTTCACAGCAGTGGAAACTGAGGCACAGAGAGGTTAAGTAACTCACGCGATGCCAAATTATGACACTTGCCGCCACTGGTGAAAATGCTGAGCTCTGGGTTCCAAACTTGGGAGGGTCAGGCCTAGAATCCCAGGCGGGGTCAGCAAGACAGGCCTGGAGCCCAGTCTGCAGCCCCCCTTCCCCCTTCTGCCTGGAAAACTGTGAGGGGTGAGGAAGGGAGGGTGATGTGGGGCGCCCATTCTATCCAGTCCTTACCAACCCAGGGCCTGGTTTCTGTCAGCCCTGGACACTCCGACAATTTCTGTCCAGGGCAGAGGCCACCACAGGGCCGTGGCCCCAGCAAGCCCTCAGTGCCTCCCAGCCCCCGCTGGTGTGCAGGGGCGCCCCAGCAGAGCCCCCTTGCCACCCCCCTGAGTCTCTTTAAAAGCCTGCAGAGCAGGCATTAAATGGACATCACTCCCTTCCACTCCCTTTTCACCAGGACTGAGAGAGAAGTAGCCAGTGTCACGCACTAAGTCTGCCTGAGTCATTCAAAATATCACCCCAATCCTCCACCAGGACTTACTCAGCTCTCCCTGAGCTGTTACCCCCATCCCTTCAGCTGCCCCTGCCCTCCCCCCACTGCCCCCCCTCCTCCCTCATCCCCCACAGCTTCCTGGCTCACACCACCCCGGTCAGCCACACGCAGAGCCACACTTTCCTCCATGCTGCTTCTCGAACACAGGTCCTCACCCCAGGGCCTGTGCACTCACTGTGCTTGATCCAGGACGTTCTCTAAAATACACACTAGGCTCATTCTCTCACTTAATTCAGGTCTTTGGTCAAACACCACCCCCATTCATCCTTCTCCATGTCCCTGTCTTTGAGCAGTGATCACCATCTGACACTGGACCTGTTTATTAGTGTCCTTCTTATTGTGTGTCTCTGCACTGGAAAGTGAACCACATGTGGGTAGGGACATTGGCTGGTGCTTTCTTGCTGTATCCCAAGCACCTGGAATAGTGCCTGGCATGGACGAGGATGTCAACCAAGACTTGTTGAACAAATTGAAGAATGACTAGCTGGCCCCTAATTACCATCAGAAGATACTCACACGTGTGTGTCCACACTCACAGGCTTACAAAGTGCGTTCACATTCCTTTGCTCCCTACGAAAGCCCCACGAGGTCAGCATACTATCCCCATTTCATGGATGGGGAAGCTGGGGCTCAGAGAAGGAAAGGCCTTGCCCAACACCTCGCGGCTGGTGAGGGCAGAGCCAGGATTCTAATCGAGGCCTTTAACATCTGCCAATGCTCTCCTTACCACATTCCAGGACACTCCAAAAGATTCTCCCAGGGTCACAACTCTTTTGCTCAAGGCCTCACAAGCAGTGGGACAGGGTCGCCCTCCTTTTTAAAAGAAGAAACAGCGGGAACTGGTCCTTTGCATCAGCAGCAGACCTCCCAGGGGAGAAGCGATGAGAAGGGGCGTGAGGGACAGAGAAAGGGCATCTGACATGGAGTCAGGAGCCCCAGGTTGAGTACTGGCTGGTCTACTTCCTTGCTGTGAGGCTCCCTGCCTGTCAGACAAGACCCTCAACCCTGTCTCAGGAGGTTCCAGAAGGAGCCAAATGAAACGATTTTAGGAAATAGTCCACACTGCACAGGTTAATGTCTGGGGAGAGGCTACAGGACGGGGGTTGCCTGCTGGCAGGTCAGCACCGCTGGGCGCTGGGCCTGGCACTGGGCCCACGCAGCAGAAGGGACCTGCTAGATTCTGCTCAAAGCCCCCACACCGGGACGCTCCTTGCTGAGATGTGTCCTCATGGCCTTTGGAGAAGCTGCCGACCACGAGTCAACCTGTGAATCTCAGCAGAGCAAAGGCAGATGTGGGAGACTGAGGCCTGGGCAGCTTTGCCCAGGGCCACTCAGCGAGGTGACAGCGAGGTGGCGGCCAGGTGGGGTGGACCAGAACTCAGCTATCCTGGCTCCAAAGTCAGGCCCCCTCCCAGCCCTGCCCTGAGCTTTATCAGACTCATCCTCTCCTGCTGAGGGAATCTCTAAGGAGCATGTCTCTGATCTGTCCCCAAGGGCATGACTGGGCATTGCTGACATTGCCACCCATCACACATACAGCATTGCTCTGATGCATTTTTATATTCTTCACTGGAACTGAAACCCTACCTTACAGGGAAGTTGCGGCAGGAGTTATTGGGGTGGCCCAGTTTACAGCAGAGAGACCGAGGCCTGGGGAGGGGAGGAAAGTGGCCAGCACCAGCAACAGGAAAAGGACCAGGGCCCTCAGCTTCCCTGGACCTGGTACTCGACACCTTCCCCTAGTCGCAGACTAGACCGGGCTGTCCCCGCCAGACTCCCGCTGCCCATGCCCCTTGTTCAGAGCCAAGCCAATGGCAGGCTCCCTGGGAAACCTCCAAGCCTGCCTGTCACCCAGCCCCATGGCAGGCTGAGCCCCTTACTTCTCCTCATAGGCCATGACCAGGCGAGGGTCCAGGATGTGCTCTTCTGGCTCCCACGTGCTGTACCTGGGAGAGAAACGAGAGGTCAGAGCTGCCCTGCTCCCCACTGGATTCACAGAGGCCACTCCACCAGAGCCCACTGTCTCAGGCTCTCACCACCATGGAGCTGTCCTTGGTCGCCCAGGCTAGGTCAGGGGCCTCCTTAGGGCTCCAGCATGACCAGAACTCCCCTCGTTCTGAGCACTGATCACACCACCTATAAATGTGTCCAACTTCCAGTGAGACCCCATGTTCATCTCAGGAGCATGGGGTGCTTGGAAAAGGGCAGGGCCTCTAAATCACAGATTACCTTCCTAGAAGAGGCTAGAGTGTGTGGCAAGGGCAGGGGCTCTGAGCCTGGCTGCCTGGGTTCAAATCCCAGTTCTGCCTTGCTAGCTGCAGAACCTTGAATGATTTACTTAATGCACCTTCGCCACGACTTCCCCATGTATAAAGGACTCTTACGCTGATTACATGCGTTATGTGTCTAAGCGTTTAGAGCAGCGCCTGGCACACAGGAAGTGCTCTGTGCTCATCGCTGTTGTTGTTCCCGCCCCTCCTCAAACCCCAGCGCCAGCACAGCCTCTCTGCCCAGGCTGAGCTGCTCCCTCCCATCTCAGGACACATCTGTGGCATCACGGTCGGGTCAAGAGTCCCT